ACCACTGAGTTTACAATGACTTATGGGTAGAAAAGCCACACTAAGTAATTTACTACACTGCACTGATACTTGGCATTTTTTTAAAATATATGTTATTATATCCTCTGTAACACCTGCTCCAAGGTGTTTATAGTCTGCCTTAGTCACCAAGTGCTGCTGTAATAGAAATACCACAATTGGATGGCTTTAAAGAACAGAAATGTCTTTTCCACAGTTGTGGAGGCTAAAGTCCAAGTCAGGGTCTCGGCTATGTTGGTCCCTGTTGGGACTCTGTTCTAATTCTTGTGGCTTATAGCGATCCTCGGCATTCCTTTGCTTGTAGATAGTCTGCACGTAAAATCTGTCTTCTCCCGTGTGTGCATCTCTGTATCTATTCTGGTTTTTCATAGATCAGGATTCACCCTACACTAGTGTGACCTCGTGAACAACAAAAGAAAACTCCTGTTTCCAAGCAGGGTCATAGTTACAGGGGTTAGGACTTCCACATTTCTTTTTGGAGGGCACAGTTTAATCCATACATAACACCATCTTTAAGAAAAAAAATTCAAAACATAAAAAGCAAAGATGTCCTTTTCTATCCTCTTCTAACTTTAGGAGTTCATTTTACTTTATTAAAATTTTTATTTTCACAAAATTAATTTATTTTTGTTGTTGTTGTTATGTGCCGTCGAGTCGGACCTGACTCATAGCGAGCCCTCCTTGGGTTTCCGAGGCATTATTACTACGGAAGTAGATTGCCCCATCTTCCTTCCGAGGAGTGGCTGGTGGATTTAAACCGCCAGTCTTCTGGTTAGCAGTCAAGTGCCTTAGCCCCTATGCTACCAGAGCTCCCATTTTTAGGCTGAGAAATTCTAGATCCAAAAAGCTTCATTTCCTCTGTCTTATACTTTAAAAGTTTTCAATACCTTCATTCATTCTTTTTTTACTTCCTTCCCTGTTTAATGGACCAAAATAAATTACTGTAAGCGGCCTGTTGGATTCTGCCTCTGAAATGTCTTCCTAGCTCTTTCCTCTCCTGCTTTGAGAATTTTATAATGTTTTGCCTGGACTTTTGGAGTAGACTCACATTGTCTACCTATGTAAGTTTCTCCCTCTTCCTTAGGTCCCTTATCTACTCTATATTCTTTGCCTCTGAGGTGCTATTTCTAAAATCCATGTTTAATCATGTCATTTCCCTCCTTAAAATCCTTTGATGATTCTTTGCTACTGAGAGACAAAGGTTGACCAACATGATAATTCTCAGTCTGGCCCTCCTATGTTATCTCCAGACCTTTCTACCTCAAGACTCTTGTGTTCCAATTAGAATTTTCCAAGGCTGTAGCTTACCTCTCTGAGTCTGCATATATTCTACCTAGAATTGACTCATCCTGGAGTCTTTTCTTTCTGGTGAATTCTAGTATATCTTTAAGATATTTCACATGCCATGTGCTCTGTGAAGCTTCTGTACTTCTCCCAGACAGAAGCAGTTATTCTTTGGCCTAGGCTTAGGAAATTGTATTTTATTACTGTACTGTTCATAAGCATAAAGCTAGATTCATTCATTCATCTTCTCATAAAATTGAATGTCAGTGAGCTACAGTGAGAGGGCAGGAAGATGTAACAATTTGTGGTGAGTGAAGAGTGCTGTAACACTTTACCTTTATTTACTTCAGACAGACTAAAGAATGAAGATGTTTAAGGCAGATTAATTCAGAGCCTGGGTACTGCTTCCTACTAGGGCTTAGACATTTGGAATCTTAGAAAGATATCATTGATTACCAGGAGGACTGGGGGGAGAGTAATAAGTGTACCAGTTAAAGTTCATTCTAGGAAGCCTGCTTTTATAACTGCATTTTTAGGCTATGAACTGAAATCCTGAAGATGCTCTAAAATATCTCAGTGTCTGCTCACCAGTACAGGTGATTTTTGATTTGCAGTGGTAGTTTGGGACTTTTATCACTTGTGTTTCACATGTATATTTGGAAGTTTCTGTTTAATACTGCCAGTGAGTTGTATCTTTTATTCCTGAGTGTAAGACTGATGGTGAAATCTCCTTGCTTTTGTAGCTGGAAATAACGTGGAAGTAGATGAGTCTTTGTTCCAGGAAATGGATGACTTGGAGCTGGAGGATGATGAGGATGACCCAGACTACAATCCTGCTGACCCAGAGAGTGACTCGACTGACTGAGGGACGGTCCTCATCTGCAGAGAGGTGTGACTGCCACAGCATCTGTGGCTATGCTGAGAGGGCTTTGATTTTCCTTTCTTTTTTTTTCTAAGAAAAAATCATTTTCAGGAGAATAGTCTTCTGATAACTTTCTTCATTGAACTTAATAAATTGACCTTAAAATTTCAAATATAAAATGTTTAATTCCTCTTGTGATGGTAGAAAGTCATCTAAATAGAATCATTTAGTGTTGGAGAGAGAGCGTGTCTTTACTTAAAGAGAGGCTGATGCCATGCACAAGCATGGGTTTTTATGGAGTGAATTAGAATGACTCACAACTTCTGTCCTGGAGGCAGTGGTTGCTTTGGGTTCTGTGTTGTCATTTATATAAAATATTAGAGTACTGAGGTCAAGAGAATATTAAACCTCAAGATAAATTTAGCTCTTAACAAAACCATAGCCCATATTATAGCCAGGAATACAATTTTAGCTCTGTAGAGGTATTTGAATCACAGATTTTAGTCCATAGTCTTGTTTGAATCAGAATCATCTCTGGGTTTTTTATTTATTTGTTTGTTTTTTAATGTGCACTCCTTGGCTCTTCTCACGTTAGATTAATAAACACTGAGCCTCAGTCTGAATTTTAGAACAGCATAATTTTACACACCAGTCCCACGGTGGCTCTGATGCACAATCCTGATTAAGAACCACTGTTCTGCAGTTGTGAAAACTTGAAATCTATGTATTTCGATGTTCTCCTCCCTCTTTCTAGTTACCCAGTCTGAAAGGTTCTAAATTCTTGGGGTTACATATTGTCTGCAAAGTAGCTGCACATCTGTATCCTCCTACATATGAAACCTTCTTCATAATATTTTGGAATGTCTGACTTGAAGGCCGACTATGTACAGGTAGGATTGCCAGGATTTATGTAAGTTACGCCAGTCACTGCAGTTTTGGAGGATTGAATCTTAACCTCAGTAAGAAATCACTTGTGCTATAGCAAATTGCTGCCTCCAGTCAGAAATATCATATCCCCTCAGACAGCAATGTCAACCCACATTGATTTTCAATCAGACCTTATGATTAAAAGCAAATTAAGATGAATCAACACTACCATTAGGGAGTTTACTACTTCCAAGGAATAGCAGTTATTAATATATTATATATAATATATACATACTGCTGTTATATATAATAGCAGTAATCTAATTCTAGCCTTCAGGATTTCTGTACAGAGAGAATCCCAAAAGTTTATGTTATGTGAGATTTTTGCTTTTCCTAAAACAGATTCTTTGTGATGCTGATCAGCAGGATCATGGAACCTTGAAGAAGCCATTCAATTAAAGTTAAAAAAAAGTGATGGTGAGAATGTGGTGCTGAGGTTAATGAAGATTTGATCTTGAAGAGTCAAGAATGATTCCTTTCTCCCTCACACAATTATTACTTTTTTGTTTTTGTTTTAAAGATAATCTCTTTAGAAAAAAAAGGTAAAGAAAATTGTCTTCTTAATGGTGAAAATAGACTTTAACATTTGCTTGACAGGTTTTCTTCAGAATAAGTTTTATATGATTCCTCCATGATGATACAGAATGATACAGAAAAGAAAGCAACTTGGTTGTTTCTAATGACACCCCTAAGTATTTTTATCCAGAGTAAACATTTACTGTTGGCTTGTATCCTAGAAATTAACCAAAGACTCTGCTTCTCAAATGAGGATACATGCCCCAGGATGTACAGCAGCAAGACTGCTGGTATTTGAAGCAATCATTGCATGTCTTCATGGATTATCAGTTTTGCTCTTGGATATGGGAAAATTTCCATTTTTGTTTTTCCTCACAAATTGTAGAAAATTAGGTTAAAAACAAATATGTTTATTCATTGCTCTATCACTGTAACAATTCCTGGTACAGAATAACTGATAGGGACTAAATTTTGTCCCCCAAAAAATATGTCAACTTGGCTAGGCCATGATTCTCAGTATTATGAAATTATCCTCTACTTTGTGATCTGATACAGTTATTTTACATGTTGTAAATCCTAACCTCTGATGTTAATGAGGCAGGATTAGAGGCAGTTATGTGAATGAGGTGGGATATAGTCTACAGGCTTAGGTTGTATTTTGAGTTAATCTCTTTTGCGATATAAAAGAAATTAAACAAGTGAGTAGAGATCAGAAGGACCTGTGTACCACCAGGAAAGAAGAACCAGGAGTGGAACATGTCCTTTGGATATTGGGTCCCTACAGTTAAAATCTCCTAGACTCAGGGAAAGATTGATGCCAAGACACGGAGATCTCCAAGGAATTCCATGCCCACAGATGTTGAAAGGAGACAAAGACCTTCGTCCAGAGCCAATGGATAGAAAGCCTTCCCCTGGGGCCAGCACTCTGGATTTTGACTTCTAGCCTTCTAAACTATGAGAAAATAAATTTCTGTTAAAGCCATCCATTTGTGGTATTTCTGTTATAGTAACACTAGACACCTAAGACTGCTACTTAAGTATTTGTTGCATCAGTAATTTATGGAATAGGATACAAAATCCTTAGGAATTTTAAACATAAAACAAGAGTTCAAAGAAGTGTACTATCTGCCACCTGCAGCTTTGAATAATCCGCCAGACTGTATTTACTTCATTGGCTTCTGCCAGCAGGGATGCCTTAGGGAAAAGTTGAATAAATGCAGACTTAAGGCAGCAAATTGAACATTTCCCAGCTGAGGTAAAGCCAGATGGAGTAATTAGTAACATCTCTTGTCAATGAAAAGGATGAGTTCACTGACTCCACTGTCACATACTCTAAGATATTCCTGCCACAAAGCAAAGAGATGCGTGTTTTGGATTCCAGAAAATAAGGTAGTTATGGCTTTTCAGTATTTATGTATTAGCCTTTGTTAGGTTTTATGAAAGTGTTCACAGAAGATCAGTAAAACTACCCTCAGGTAGCTCAGTGTTTCTCAGAGAACATGCAAGTCAGGAAACAAAAACGAGGCATTGTACAATTATATGACAAAATATGTCATGCTTCAAGAGCTGTAGGGAGCAGTTATAGGAACCACCAATTATGGAAGTGGTTGACAAAGTTTTGCAAAAGATAGAACATGTGAAACATGGATAAGGTATATGAAATGTAAGGGGTTGAAAGTATAGCAAATTATGCCTAGACAGAATGAAAGGATGAATGGGCTTGGACTTCTGTGGAGTGGTAGGTGCCTGTTGGGAAATGGTGAGAGATAATTCTTTAAGTTTTCAATGTGACCCTTACGCGCCTCATAGAAATAAAACTTTAAAAAATCAAGTGGCTTAATAGCTCCTGGCATCAGGGTATGATCTTTTGGTGGGGAATGCCCTACATTGTTAAAGGGATTGGAAGAATAGACCTGGGATAAGACATTGTTTATCTTCTCTATGATGTGAGGGACACTGTTGCTGTATTGTTAGGTGCTGTCGGTTCTGACTCATAGTGACTGTACGTACAATGAAAGTAAACACTTCCTGGTCGTGAGCCATCCTCTCAGTCGCTGCTATACTTGAGGCCCATTGGTGCAGCCAGTGTGTCAGTCCATCTTGTTGAGGATCTTCCCCTTCTTCACTGACCTTCTTTCTACTTTACCTTTCTCCAAGGAATGGTCCCTTCTGACAACATGACAAAAGTAGATGAGATGAAGTCTGGCCATCCCTGATTCTAAGGAGCATTCAAGTTGCACTTCTTCCAGGAGAGATTTGTTCATTCTTCTGGCAGTCTGTGGTGTTTCAGTATTCTTCACCAACATCACAGTTCAAAGGCGTTAACTCATCTTTGGTCTCCTTGATTCATTGTCCAGCTTTCACATGCATATGAGGTGATTGAAAATACCATGACTTTGGTTAGATGCACCTTAGTCTTCCATGTGACATCTTTGCTCCTTAACACTTGAAAGAGGTCTTTTGCAGCAGCTTTCCCCGGTGCAGTATGTTGTCTGATTTTTTGACTGCTGCTTCTCCGGGCATTGATTGTGGATCCAAATAAAATGAAATACCTGACAACTTCAGTCTTTTCTCCATTTATTGTGGTGCTGCTTACTGGTCCAGTTGTGAGGATTTTCATTTTCTTTATGTTGAGGTGAATTCATACTGAAGTCTTTGATCTTCATTAGTAAGTGCTTCAGCTATTTTCACTTGCAGCAAGGAAGGTTGTGTCATCTGCATATCACAGGTAGGTTAATGAGTCTTCCTCCAATCCTGATGCCACATTCTTCTTCATACAGTCCAGCTTCTGGGATTATTTGCTCAGCATCCAGATTGAATAAGTACAGTGAAAAGATACAAACTTGATGCACAGCCTTCCTGATTTTAAACCATGCAGTGTCTCCTTGCTCCGTTCAAATGACAGCCTCTTGGTTCTTGGTCTACATACAGGTTCCTCATGAGAACAATGAAGTGTTCTGGAATTCCTATTCTTCTTAATGTTATCCATAATTTGTTATGATTCACACAGTCAAATACCTTTGCATAGTCAATAAAACACAAATACCTTTCTAGTTTTCTTTGTATTCAGCCAAGATGCATCTGACATTAGCAATGATATCCCTCATTCCACGTCCTCTTCTGAATCTAGCTTGAATTTCTGGAAGTTCCCTGTCAGTATAACTGCTGCAGCTGTTTTTGAATCATCTTCAACAAAATTTCACTTGCCTGTGATATCAGTGATATTGTTTGATAATTTCTACATTCTGTTGGATCATCTTTCTTTGGAATAGGCACAAATATCAGTCTCTTCCAGTCAGTTGTCCAGGTAGCTGTCTTCCATATATCTTGGCCTAAATGAGTGATCATCATCTGTTTGTTGAAACATCTCAATGGGGATTCCATCAATTCCTGGAGCCTTGGTTTTCACCAGTTCCTTCAGTGGAGCTTGGCCTTGCTTTGGTACCATTGGTTCTTGATCATAAGGTGCCTCTTGAAACACTTGAACATCAACCACTTCTTTTTGGTACAGTGACTATTATTTCCATCTTCTTTTAATGCCTCCTGCATCATTTAATATT